AGAATCATAGAATCATAGAATGGCCTGGGTTGAAAAGGACCACAATGATCATCTAGTTTCAACCCCCCTGCTGTGTTCAGGGTTGCCAACCACCAGACCAGGCTGCCCAGAGCCACATCCAGCCTGGCCTTGAATGCCTCCAGGGATGGGGCATCCACAACCTCTGTGGGCAGCCTGTTCCAATGTGTCACCACCCTCTACGTGAAAAACTTCCTCCTACTATCTAACCTAAACCTCCCCTGTCTCAGTTTAAAACCATTCCCCCTTGTCCTATCACTATCCACCCTTGTAAACAGTTGTACCCTCTCCTGTTTATACGCTCCCTTCAAGTACTGGAAGGCCACAATGAGGTCTCCCCAGAGCCATCTCTTTTCCAAGCTAAACAAAGCCAGTTCCCACAACCTTTCTTCATAGGAGAGGTGCTCCAGCCCTCTCTGTCATCATCTCAGTTCCCCTCCCCTGGACCTGCTTCAAGAGCTCCATGTCATTCCTGTACTGGGGGCTCCAGCCTGGATGCAGAACTGCAGATGAGGCCTCACAAGAGCCAAGTAGAGGGTAACAATCACCTCCCTCTCCCTGCTGGTCATTGCTCTTTTAATGCAGCCCAGAACACAGTTGGCCTTCTGGGCTGCATGCACACACTGCTGGCTCATGTCCAGCTTCTCATCCACCAGGACCCTCAAGTCCTTCTCTGCAGGGCTGCTCTCAAGGAGTTCTTTGCCCAGTTTGTATAAATACCTGGGATTGCCCATGGGCCCATTTCTCCAGCCTGTCCAGGTCCCTGGCTTCCCTTCCTTCCAGTGTATCGATTGCACATTCAGCTTGGAGTCATCTGCAAACTTGCTGAGGGTGCACTCGATGCCATCATCTATGTCACTGATGAAGATGCTGAAGAGCACAAGTCCCAAGACCAGCCCCTAAGGGACACCACTTGTGACTGGCCTCCACCCAGAGACAGAACCATTGATCACAACCCTTTGGCTGCATCCAGCCAACCAATTCCTAATCCATCAAACAGTCTGTCCTTCAAATCCATGCCTCTCCAATTTAGAGAGAAGGATGCAGTGAGGGACCATGTCAAAGGCTTTGCAGAAGTCCAGGTAGATGGCATCCAGCGTCCTTTCCCCATCCACGGATGCTGTCACTCCATCATAGAAGACCACCAGATTGGTCAGGCAAGATCTGCCCTTGATTAAGCCATTCTGGCTGTCTTGGACATGCCTTAATACAGATCCTAGGAGGATCTGCTCCATGATCTTCCCAGGCACAGAGGGTGATGCTCTCCAGCCTGTAATTCCCCTGGTCTTCCTTTCTGCCTTTGTTAAAAATGAGAATAATGTTTCCTTTTTTCCAGTCACTGGGGACTTCGTCACAGCCATGATTTTTCAAATATGATGGAGAGTGGCTGGGCAACCACATCACCCATCTGTCTCCGAACCCTGGGATGGATATCATCCAGTCCCATGGACTTATATACATTCAGTTCCACGAGGAGGAATTGGACTTGGACTCGTTTCACTATTACAGTGGGATGGAATTCACTCCCCACACTTCACCTAGAGTTTCAGGGTCCTGGCAGATATGGGAAACCTGACCACCCGTGAAGACTGAGGAAAAGCACTCATTGAGTACCTCAGCTTTTTCTATGTCAGAAGAAGCCAGCTCCCCATTACTCTTCATCAGAGGGGGAACACTCTCCTCGACCTGTCTCCTCCTGCCTACGTACTAGAATCCCTTCTTGTTATCTTTCACATCCCTTACCAAGTTAAGTTCCGTCTGTGCCTTGGCTTTCCTAATCCTATCTCTACATATGCAGACAACAGCCCTGTATTCCTCCCAGGCTACACAACCCTGCTTCCACTTCCAGTACGTTTCCCTCTTTTCCCTCAGTTTTAGCTGCAGGTCCTTGCTCAGCCATGTCAGTCGCCTGCCTCCCCTGCTTGACTTCTGCTGGAGGATGGAGATGTGAGAGTACCCAAGTCCATGTACATTCTATCCTTTTCCAAAACTCTCAGAAGTAGGAGAAGAAAGCTACGCTTAACTAGTTATTAGGCACTGCACACTTCCCATGCCCTGTTTTCAGTCCAGATAAGGTTAATAAACCCACCAGCATTTGGTTGATGCAGGCTGAGTCACAGTTGCATGCCCAGAGTGGGATGGGCACTCTGGCAGGGCATGTGGCCCAGCATAGCTCACAGTGCAACCTGCCCTCTGCCATCGTGGCAGCAGGCAGCATAGTGAGCTGTTCCAGGCTTCATGTGTCCTGATGGCCATGGGTTACACATGCCTGACTTTGATAATATAGTGTCATTGCTGTCTAAGTAGTCCTGAGGGTTATTTTCCTGTGATGCCATCATGTCCCTTCATTCCTTTTTTTAAATCTGTGTGCATATGTCTAAGAATGAAAAGAGTTAGGAACATTCCTCTTAGGGTGGTGCATGTGTTGCTTTGTCTGCATATGTTATAGCCAAAGTACTTTAACTTAGTCTGCTCGCTTCCAGAGCATACCTGAAAAACGTAGAGTTATTATCATTAACTCACTGTGTAGCTACACTGCTAAAACTAACATTTTAAGAATTAAAGGAAAAAAAATCCTTTCTGCAATATCTTAGAAAGCAGACATAGTCAGTTTTCTTCTTTCTACTACCTCTCTTATACAAGAAGTTTTCCTCTAAACTTTAAGCATGCGATCAAACTCCCTAATGTTTTATCTATCATCAACTTCTATAGAGCCATTTTAGTATTAATAAGTATCCCATGTTACTATTCACATTTGTCACAATTATTTTGAGTTTATTGCATAGCTGGGGGGGAAGGGGAGGGATGAAGTACTTATGAGAAATAAGTCAAAAGATTGTGGACAGTACTGTTTGGGAGGATGCTGAGTCTTAAACCTTCAGCAAAGTTCATAGGAAACAGTGGCTAAATTATGTCTTGCCTTTCTGTCAGTCATCAGCATTCCCTACGTTGATTCTCACAATTTAGAAATAGTACTCTAGGTTCTCTGCTGATGAAAACACCCTTGCAGCCCAGAAAGCCAACTGTATGCTGGGCTGAATCAAAAGATGCATGAGCAGCAGATCAGTGGAGTGATTCTGCCCCTCTACTCTGTGCTGGTGAGAGCTCCCCTGGAGTACTGTGTTTAGATGTGGAGTCCTCAGTGCAGGAGACACACAGACCTCCTGGAGTGCATCCAGAGAACGGCCACAAAAGTGATACATGGAATGGAATGCCTCTATTACAAGGGCAGGCTGAGAGAGCTGGGTCTGTTCAGCCTGGAGAAGAGAAAGCTGCATGGTGACCTGATAGTGACTTTTCAGGTATCTAAAGGGGAGCTACAGCAAAGAAGGGGGCAGACTCTTTAGCAAGTCCATGGTGATAGAACAAGGGGAAAATGGTTTGAAGCTCAGGAAGGGCTGATTTAGATTAGATATAAGGGAAAAAAAGTCTTTTGAGTGTGGCAAGACACTGGAACAGGTTACTTAAGTGTTGGAGTTCATGTCCCATCCCTGGACACTACCAGGGCAAGGCTACGTAAGGCCCTGTATAACCTGATCTAGCTAATGTGTTGCTGTTCATTGCAGGGCAGTTGGACTAGAGGGCCCTCAGAGGTCCCTTCCAACTCTAGTGGTCTTATGAAAGTCTATGCAGCACCACAGAGCCTATTCCTATCCTGTAACTTCAGTCCTCAGTAAAGATATTATATGTACTGTAGCAGTGTGGCATCTTCTAAGACTTTTACACATTCTCCAGAGAATGAACAAAAACACAAACAGCTTGTATTGAAAAACAAATTTCTACAAGGATACTTTCCCTTTGTAGTACAGAACAACCAAAATTCTACCTCAAGGATGTGTTTTGCAGAGCCTGCAGCTGGTCTGCAATCCTGGCACAGCAAAGTCATGAGTCTAACCCTGCCTAAGTGAGGTTGCACTTGTGACAAGTGTATATATATATATATATATACATACACACACACACATATATATAAATATCAATAGATATAGATATATAGATACAGATATATCAGGAGGCTTTGTAGGTGCAAGTTGCAAGTGCTAAGGGATTAGTACAGTGACAGCTGAAGTTATACTGGAAATGCATATGCTTGCACAGATTGTGTTTATCAACTGCAAATGCACTCCTGTAGACAGCAGGAATCCCAGGTGTTGTAATTAAAATAAGTTATAGACCTAGCTACACAGAGTTGTCAGTACTAGAAAACCTTAATGATAAGCCTTTTTTTTTTCTTGTGTTAGTGGAGCAATAGCTGGAGCTGTGAAAAGTATTCTAGTCCAGAACAAACATTCTGTATACATGTTTCTGATTGTTATGGATCAGAAGATAAAAGGCCAAGTCACTCTGGTATCTAGGAAAAGCCAGATTCTTTAAATATAATTGAGTTAGTGACTGTGAATGTTTGTGCACATGCCGACCTTCAGGCTTGAGATACCAAATTACTTGTTGTAATGCCATAATGTAATGGAAAGTACAGCAACAATAGGGGAGCAGCACAATCCTACGCTCCAGCAAATAAAAACAACCTAAATGCAACAGCCATAGGCACAGAAACAAAGGAAGAAAAACTGCTTAACTTTAGAAGGCCTCTAGCACACAGAGATCTCCAGCAAGATATCCTTGTTTCCACTGCCAACCCTTTAATGAGGATTGGGAAGGGGTGAATCCTGACCAGAATCCTTCTGGTCACTCAGGTGAATGCTCCCTTGGGTTGACCCTGCCTTCTTACCAGGTGCTCAATTGCTACTCTTGTGTAGTAATGCAGAAGAGGGTTAATCTTAAGTTCTCATCAGGCATGTAGTCTGTGGTTCATGGGATTTGATAGTGGATATTCCATATAATTCCCTAAGCCTTGAAGTCCCTGTGCCTCTTCTTCACACTACCTCTGAACTTAAGGGGTGGAAATATTCATATTCTGCTTATTAATTGTTTAATAAAGCATCCTTCCTTCTCATAAATTTTATTAATATTCTTCATATCAGCTCAGAAGACAGAGGTTGGAGATCTGATTGCTTGTAATTGAACATGGCAGGAGATGTGAAAAGATTCACACGCATGCTACTGGAATGCAACAGCAATGACAAGCTGTGTGGTAAGATTCACTTATTCCTTTAGGCAGTATTTTTCCACATAATGAGCAGCAAGGCCAGCTTTGCTAAAAAGGGAGCAAGGTCTTTCCCCTTCTCCACCTTTTTGTGGCATGGGATCATGCCACAAAAGAGGATTTGACAGTGGAAAGTCCTGTAAAAATCCCAGCCTTTATAGCTGTCTTGGATTATTTCTACTTTGAATTACACATAAAAATGAGGTTAAGACCTCATAACATAGTCAGTAAAGATTCTCTTCTGCTTTCTTAAGGACCAATTTTGTGAAATTTCGATGGTCACTGTGTCATCTTTGAAACTGAAGTAGTGCCTTGTCCCGTGCAAAAATATTACCACCTCCAAATCTGGGGAGAATCTGCAACTCCTTATTAATGGCAGTGTCTTTTGATCAAACTCCAAAGCAGGTGATCATGCCCTGTTTTCTTTAAATTGCTCCCTATATTTTTAATTGAAGAAGCTGAACCTGTGATTTCACTGTTGTGTAGATTTGTGATGGCATAGCAATGGTCAACTCTTCCCAAAGCCCTTCTATCCCTCTGCCAGGGCCAGACACGTTTCAGTGGTGGATGATACACTCATGACTAAAGTTCCTTGTCTCTGTACTAAGTCATCTAAATAAGTGAATAAGGCATCTGAATAAGCACAGGTGTCCTAGTGGCTTTATGAGGTTTAAAATTTTCAGCACCTTTGTGAAGCAACATTTGAGAAACAGGATTGCAGCACTAGAAAGTGTTCAGTTGCTGTTCTAAGAAGCAGCAAGTGGACAGACACAAACACACACTGTCAGTTGGAACAGTTGCACCCTAAACAGTTTATTACTGCCGTGTTTTATAGAATTGGTGCACTCTTAGCAATGCTGCACACAGTCCTCAGTGCAGTGCTCCTTTAATTCCCATTTTCTTTTTCTGCTTATAGTTGTGCGTGAATATCAGACTGAAGTGATTGTTGTCCCAGCTCTCCTTGTGGGTTTTTTTGTCATTCTGCTAACTGTGATCCTTTGGCTGCATTGCCGAGGCTTGCGAACAAGAACAAAGCGGGAGGAATCATCATCATCTGGACAACAAGGTAAACATCACCATTTTAAAACTGAGGAAAGAGTATTGATTTCAGTAGCCCTAAGTCAACAGCTTGAGTTGTTAGACAATAACAACTGTTTTTGAAAATCCTGGGTGGTATTCATCCATCTAGAGAATGTAAGAAAACTGGGGAACCTTCATTTGTCCAACTTCTGTTAGCAATAATAGAATCTGCAGTGCTGAGAGATCTGAGAAAACCTAAACCAGCATACTATGAAGGTACTATGAAGATCTCCAAACAAGTGATAATATCACTCGAGAATTGCAAAGTATATTTATGTGATAGCCTTTATGGATGCTCCTGCAAGCAACAGGGATAATTACAAATGAAAGTTTGTATATAATAATTTTGGATATATATCACACCTAGTTATCCCATTTATTTATTATCATTTACGAAATTTCATCTTAAGCTGATTTATCCTACTTCCTATGGGGACAACAGAAAACAGAACAAGGAGTGGTGAGAAGGAGAAAGGGTTGCCATTACTGCAAGCGCATGCTACTATGTTGAAATGAAACTCTAGTTCTGAACTGATTTTTTTTCCATACAGGAAAAAAAACCTATGTTAAGGGAAGTAACTGAAAACCACGATAAGACGTAGATGGGAGCACTCTCTGTGTATCTCTTTCAAAACTGACAGTATCAGAAATAGCGTTGCCAGCAGGAGCAGGGAAGTGATCATCCCTCTGTACTCAGCACTGGTGAGGCCGCACCTCAAGTACTGTGTTCAGTTTTGAGCCCCTCACTACAAGAAAGACACTGAGTCCCTGCTGCACGTGCAGAGAAGGGCAATGAAGCTGGTGAGGGGTCTGGAGTACAAGTCTTATGAGGAGTGATTGAGGAAACTGGGAATATTCTGGAGAAGAGGAGGCTCAGGGGAGACCTTATTGCTCTCTGCAGTTACTTGAAAGGAGGTTGTGGTGAGGTGAGGATCAGCCTCTTCTCCTATGTAACTATTGATAGTACTAGAGGGACTGGTCTCAAGTTGTGCCAGAGGAGATTCAAGTTGGATGTTAGGAAAAACTTCTCGAAAAGAATGGTCAGGTGCTGAAATAGGCTGCCTAGGCAGGTGATAGAGTCACCGACCCTGGAGGTGTTCAAGAAACACTTAAATGTTTTACTGAGAGGCATGGTTTAATGGGAAATATTGGTGATAGGTGGATAGCTGGACTTGATGATCTTGGAGGTCTTTTCCAATCTTAGTGATTCTATGATTCTATGATTCTATCTGGTAATAATAGAAAATGGTAATAAAAGAAAATGGCTGTTTCTTCAGCACAAGAATCAATTACAAATGTGCCTTATCCAGGAAGAAAGTTTGCATAGTTAAATCCAGTAGAGATCTCCAAACTCATTCTTTAATTTTGTCAATTAGAGAATGAGATAAATTCCTTTACCTCTTCCAGATCTGGGATCAGTAAGATGCAGCATTTCTTTCCTTCCTCCTGATTTCCAAAAATAGCGTGGACCAAAATCAAAGAAAAAAGAATAATTGGCATTGCCACTTACTACAAGGGCTCATGTCTGTTTTTGTGTTTCACATGTATTTGGTTTTGTCAGCGAACAACAAGAACCAGCAGGAATCCAGTTCACAAGAGAACCACTGTATACAGCTGAGCGAGATATCTACAGAGATCCTGCTAAGTTCTGCATCCTTGACTCTGAAAGAACTGCAGATGCCACGGGAGAAACTCTCACTAGGCAGTCTGCAGATAGTAAAACATGGCCGTAATGGGAGCTTCTACAGAGCAAAACTGGAAACTGGGAACTCAGGGAAGACTAAGAGTGTCATATTGAAAGCCTTACAAGGTAAAGCAAGGAGAACCCAGTTTGGTATAGATCTGTGTGTCAAAGACATAAAGTTGGGCAGAATTTTGTAATCATTACTGGCCAAGATCGAGCTGTGTTCAGTAACATACTAATATGTTAACTAGTCCACTGTAGTGGCACTGTAGTAGTATCAAAGAAGACTGCTGTTATTTCAAGCTAATTGCCCTGTTCTTTGGTGCTTCCTGTTCTTTGCTTCCTTCAAATTTCTCTGATTCTTTCAGATCTGGTTAGTCCCCAGGAAGTAAAGGATTTCCTGGGAAGGATTAAATTCCATCAAAATCTTGGCTATCATGAGAACCTGGTTGAATTGGTTGGATGCTGTGTAGATCGATTCCCACTTTATATGATAATGGAAGATGTAACTCTTGGTGACTTGCTAAAGTTTCTATGGACATGTCGTAAGGTGAGTCAAAAAAAGTGATGGTAGCATATCTTCTTCAAATGGCTCATTTCCATATCTGTGTGTAAGTCATAGAAGATTCTTTTCATCTCTTCGTGCATCCAGCTGTATCAGTCTAAATCATTTTCATCCCCAAAGAAGCTCTATGAAGTTCTGAACTGGAAAGAGCCAGTGCATTTCTAAATAGGTGTGTTAAAGTTTGGAGAAGCTGACATTTTGTAAGAAGTCTGACTTTGCAGGCCAGTGGAATTCTTTGAAGGGTTAAGCAGGCATTGGGAAAAGTGGTACACTGACGAATACTTTTTTCCCAAAAGTTTTAAATGGAGGTTCTACTTTAAAAGCTTTTAGAGCAACAGAGTAGTTTTGAAGATGGGGAGAAAGTCTTTGAATGATAACTAAATGATTAAAAGACAATTACTGGAATACAGGTGAGAAAGGTCAGTACTTGTACTGGAGGGAGTCACCCCTAGCTCTGCTAGGAAATATACTAGGACCTGGTACTTTTCAGTGTGTGTGTCAGTAGCCTAGCAAAAGAGTTACAAGTGAGGTCATGATAGGTGATGAGAATAGCAAGGGCTTGAGCATTTGCAGAAGAACCTTGCTAAATTGAGTGACTAATCAATAAAAAGAAACAGATAAAATTCAGCATAGCTAAAAATGAAATGATACACATGTACAAAAGCAATCTTGACTTAATGTACATAATGATGGCCTATTGCTGATGAGATGTGAAATCATGGGACTGATTCTACGTACACATATACTCTCATGCAGAAGTTAACTGAAGCAAAAAAAAAAAACAAAAAACCACAGACATATTTAAAATTAGTAAGAAAGGCATAGAAACAAAACACTATTATGTCTCTGTATAAATCTGTCTTTCTTCCACATCTGAAGTTTTAAATACAGAGAGATTGCTTTCTGTTTTGTTCAGCAGAAAGACAAGGTGGTAACAAATTAGGCTAGTAAGTGCCATGGTCAAAGGAAACTAGTGGAGATAGCTCGTCACAAAGTGGGGATTTGACTATTGGAATTCCTGTTCACTGAGTGCTATGGATACAGAAGCTTTTTACAGCTTCAAGACAAGACTTAATAAATTAATGGAAGATAAGTATGAAGGTTACTGAACATGTTGAGATCCTAACCATTTTGGGAAGTCCTTAGACTGAAAATAACCAGGGGCAGAAGACTACTTAGGAAAAGCAACATATGCTTGTTTTGTTTTTTCTCTCTGACTTGGGTATCCAGCCAGGGTCACTCTTAGAGGCAAGAGAGTAAGAGATGGGTTGATAATCTCATCCCAGATATTCATTTGTGTGTTACAGGTGTGCTTTTCTAATTTGCTACAGTTCTTTCACTCATGTATGAATTGTCATTTTCCACTGTCATTCTGCTCATTTTTGTCCAAGCTATTAAATTATTTTCCATTATTCAGTTTACCCACCAGTCTCAGCTGTCCTTATCTTACCCAACATATCATCTATCGTGAACATCGCCCATTCATATGCCCTTATCTTTCAGTCAGTTTATGACTAATCTGTGAAATTAGCCAAGGAAGCTAATTATAATTAGCTATATAGCTAATTATAGCTACATAGCAATTATAATTACATAATACTCATTTTACGAGATTGAAAGGAGACACATTCGCCAGCACCTTACATCTGTAACTCAATGTCTACTCTTTTGTCTCTAGGATGTAATGACAGTGCATGGTGTCCCCTACGACCTCACTGAAAGGCAAGTATACGAAGTTGGACAACAAGTTGCAGCAGCTCTGGTAAGTCTGCTCAGATTTACTCGGTTTTTTGCTTCTTGTTTGACTGTAACACAAGCTCACACTTAACTTAGGCAGTGAGGATGCCATTTGTTAAAATTGAGCCAAATATATTCATATTGATTTGGTGGGCCTTCACCTCTGTTCTGCACTGTAGAGGATGGGTGCAAACTCATTAAAAATTTCTGCCAATTAGAATTACTTTTAAAGTGATCATAATCTCTTCCAACTTTTTAGGCTTACCTTGAGGAGAAGAAGTTGTTCCATGGTGACATCGCTGCCAGGAATGTCCTACTTCAGCACAACTTCACTGCCAAGCTCTGTGGTTTTGGGCTGGCCTATAAAGCTCATACATATGGTGCCAGCTTGGTCACAGAAATGGTGTCAGTAAAGTGGCAGGCACCAGAGCGGCTTCTAAAGGACCCCCCTAGCATCAAGGCAGACATGTATGATTTTATTTCTGAACTAGAATTTCGTCTGTCTGTCAGACCTGGCTTTTCCACTTCTTTATGTATCATTATTTCATGTCCTGAAGTTCACAGCAAGACTTAACTGTTCTCATCACAGTGCTTAACTTTTCATCTCATACCTTCTCATTTCTGCATAACACAACTAATCATTTGTATGTGTTTAACCTAGCTAGCTTGCTGGAACAGAAACTTGCTATTGCTTTGTTTTCTTTTCTTACAGATGGTCTTTTGGAATTCTGCTGTATGAAATGATTACATTAGGTAAGAAAATGTAATAAAAAAAAAATTAAAATATAGACATTAGCAACAAATTAACAAGACCAAAAATCTGAAATTTAAGAATGCAAAATTGAGGCTAATTTAAATAATAAGTGACCTGTTTTTTTTTTTTTTTCTGACATGCAAAACTCATGACATTTGTTTTTAGGTCTTCTGTCAGTGTGAACTGAAAGAACAAGAGAATAGATCTTATTAGGCAGAGATGTCATTCTTATACTGGAGCTGCTGTCTGTGACCTTTACCTTATAGCTTTTCTACTGTTTTCTCTCTCACCTTCCAGGTGATCCACCATATCCTGAGGTCCGACCTTCTGACATCTTGCCATACCTGCAGAGACGAAACATTATGAAACAGCCCTCAAGCTGCCAGCAGGCCATGTAAGCCACTCATTTTATGTACAGTTGAGATACTCGCAGAGATAAATGGAAATGCGGAATGCAAAACTGTATCTTAAAGAAGATTTCTAAGTCTAGACTGTACAAAACTGCATCTTCATAGTTGAGAGGACTTGTTCTCATGCCTGCCACATCTTACTGGGTTCTCCTGCATGAAACCTCTACTGCCACTCTTACCTGCTTTGAAAATTGTTCTTGTTTCTGCTTTCTTTTCTGCCTTTAAATTTTTTTGCTCCACTGCTTCTCTGCAAGGTACAGGACTATTCTAGAGCAACCATTCTCCTAAGTGCTGAATGATCTCTGAAATGAACGAAGCAACCACAGGGAAGATATGAAGCATTGTGTTTCTTCTTGTGAAGACTTTTAATGTTATTATTTTTTTTAATATTGAGGCTTTTTCATCGGTAGGATACCCAGTTGCTGTTTCAAAAGGAAATATGAAATGTAATCATTTCACCTTTTCCCATACTCAGAGATGGCATCCTGGCAAACAGCTGAATGCCTGCCTTTTTCCCCACACATTATTATGTAGTTACAGGTTTTGCTGAAAGAACTTTCTATGAAGCAGAAAAAAGAGGAGGTCTCTAGATGTTTCACATATGAGATAAAATTTTTGTTGGTATTTTTCATTTCCAGCTCCTCTCTACTTCTTCATCTTACAGGTACAGCATCATGAAGTCTTGTTGGCAGTGGAATGCAACTGATAGGCCTTCTCCGTCAGACCTGATCCAGAGCCTACAAACAGCTATGAAGACCAGTAATGACCAGAGAGTTCTGCAGGTTCCTGAGCTAGTGGTGCCTGAAATCTATGCTGATATCGCTGGTGTTGCAATGGACAGTTTAGTGAGTGACTATACTGTACTTTGAAGGACTCTTTCTCATATTAGTAAAAGAGAGGTCTCTATATTGCCTATTCAAGACACTTGGCAAACTCAGAATGAGATGTTTATGTATATACTTCAGATGTGTCCTCCACACTTGAAATAATGAACTGGTAGTAGCAGTACTTTTAAATCACCCTGCTGATACCATTTTGACAGTGGTCATTTCAAAGCAAAATGGATTTAGGAAGCTGTAGAAAATGCAATGAGAAATTTGAGTTTTAGGTTTTTTGAAATCTCTATCCATTTTTCTTTCCCATGAAACTGCATCACTTGAATATTCAGAAGATGAGGTGTCCAAGAGGAATACGCTCTTGGGCACAATCTTATTGGAATATGTGGACAGAGTAGGTAACAGAAATGGATGGCTTCCTGTCCTGCCAACAGTTCACAGGCTGGTTCAGCCCAGTTCTGTGACTAGCAGGCTGAGGGTACCCACAGACCCATGTCCTGGGACAGGGAAAAGGGTGGGGAGATGGGCCTAAAAACAAACAGCGACAGTAATCTGAGGAGAAACAAACTAATTTACTAAAAATGATATCAAAATGCAAGATAACACGGTATAATGTAATATAACACAGTGTAATTGGAATTGAGGATAATAAATCAAACAAAATGAGAGTGTCCAAGAACTGAAGGCCTTACTCTAAGTAAGCTAAGGTGATACAGTACCTGCAACAGAGATGAGCCAGAAGATCAAAAAAGAAGGTCCTGTAAAAACTGCAAACAGTTTTTATTTTTCCCTCTGAGTAGAAAACAGTAACAGAACAGCAAACAGTTTTTTGGGAGATGTAGTTCCTCTCTGGGACAGGTACCCAGAACTGGAGCATTAACTCTTTAACTCCCAGTACACTACATGATGTTATGATGTGGAATACTGATAACAAAAATCATAAAACCATGACACTGTGCATTATTTTCACATTTGCTAAAGGCCTATGTGATTAACTTGCATTATTGCCTGTTAAGTGCTCAATAAATGTCTGCGATCTCTCCAGAGCTTTGCATGAAAGAATAGGCACTGTATATTTTAAACAAAATAAAATGCTTACATATCTGTGACTACAGAAATTTTTAAATTGAAATGATGCATCTCCACATAGAGTGTGCTTTTTCTGTGGTAGTGATGAGATTGAGTGCATACTTGTTACAAATGGAAACTGCTTCAGTCATAAGGGAGAAGCAACAGTATGTTTATTGAAATCATATAGTGATTTAGCAATGCTTGATTGTAAATAAGACAGTGATTTAGATGGCAGAGTACAGTGACAGAGATGTCAAAGTACACTTAATTCTTTACTGCATAAAGGATAGGGTTATACAACTCATCCAGAAGACCTTCCTGTTGAGTCATGAGGTTCATAATGCAGCCCTTTGCTTTCTTAACACCTTGAACAACAGAGGTAAAGAGCCTGGGTGCAGCTGCATCTACTGCTAGACCCAAACTTGGTCAAAGGTTTACATCTAAGAGCTTGTATGTGCACTGTCAATCTAAGATACAATCTTAACAAGGGTAACAAAGCTTACACAAACTATTAATCACTTACTGAAGTTCTGTATCAGCAAGAAGACACTTGTGATCAGGATGTAAGGGATCTTTACAGCAAGTGTAAACTCAAGAGCTGTCTCTACTCAAAGGGAGATCCTATCATGCAGCTAGCTGCCATGCAGAGAGTTCAAGTCTTGCTTGGCTGCTCACTATTTGTGGGATAAGATGGTTGACTCATAGCTGTATTTTTTGCCACGTGCTCAACTGGCCCTCAGCTGTTGAACAAAGTATCTGCCATCAGTTCTTTCAGCACCCAGTTTGAGGCAGATTTGTGTTCGTTATCTGTCTTAGCAAGATTCTGAGTGTAACTAGTATTGTGCTTGCTATCTGCCTGAAAAGGCCCTATGTGTAACAGTCAGAACAAAGGAGGAAGTTGTGGGAGGGCACACTATAACGATACTCCAAGATAAAAGGAATATGATCCCATCCTTATCACAGGGAAAAGTTCTTACTGACCTCAAGTTCTCAGGGATGGTTCTTAATTAATCATTCCTTTGAGCAGAACAGGTCATTTGTGCTTCTTTTTTGAGTTGCAAATTGTTGGGTTAATAAATGTATGTTTTCTTTTAAGGGAGGAGGATATCTGGTTATAGTTACAACAGCTATTGTGAAAATAGTGTGGAAGTAGTAGGAGTACACCAAAAAAGAAAGGCTGAATTACAATAAAACAACATATGAGGAGGATAAACATGCATAGTGATTGCGTGGGAGTAGACTGTAGGCTATACTTATCTCTGTGATGACAACTTTGGTATAAAACTTCTGTACTGAGGATGCAGGTATTTGATATTACCTTCTTAGCTACCATATGACAAGTGTGACAGCACGTAGCATTTTGTGAATATTGTGATGAAAACACAGCTGATGTCTAAAGGAAACAAGTCAACCAGCCTACTGAAAGATGTCTATTGTGCTTGGCTTGCTATGAAGAAGAGTTGCATGGAATATTCTAGCTGCAAATGGCATTAGCCTTCAGCATTAATCACAGGAATTAGAAACTGAAAAATTAGAAAAAGTGGAGCGAACCATTCATGCAGGTAAATGTCATCAGTATACTTAGAGAGAAATAATTTTGCAGTTTTGGTTTATAAAAAAAATCCTGTACTGTGGAGAAAGTGTTCTAGTTTTGCGGATGAACCACCTAGGACCCACAGCTATTACAGAAATGAAATAAATATCTTGCCTCTCTGTGTATATTGGTTCTTTGCACACTGGGTTAAAATACTTAAATTTTGGGACAGCACATCTACTTCATAGTCTCACGTATAAGCGTCACAGATACTTTGGTAATCATAAGGAGAACATGAATTTGTGCTCAGTGAGTTGCTGGGTGGGAACTCAAGGTTTAATTTAAAATGCTCATGTGAGAAATTTTCTGTATGTATTGTTCTTCTAAGCCACGTATATTCCATATTCCATGCATTGATCAGTGGATTTGTTTTTGCAAAAGACTTCAGTGGCTAGGGTGACCACACTGGTGACTTATGTGAGTGCACGTAATTTGGTTACTCATGTTTTGCTGTGCAAATGCCTTCTGCAGAAAAGTGAATAGTGCCCACACTAAGACTTGCCCTGGGACATCTGAGTAATGGAAAACCCAGTGGAAATGCCCGTGTGTGTTTACATAGGGCAGACATTTGTCTCTTTAATTAAAAAAAATGTTTTTGTTTTTTGTTTTCTTTTTTTTTGCTTGTTCTGTGTTTATACTTTACAGTATAACCGCACAAAGCTTATCTGACAATATCTGGTTATTCGTTTTCACGAATACGCAAATTTTTGTAAAAAACTGGCACTTGAAAATTTTTTGCCTTCATTTCAGGGGAGGCAAATTCTGCTTGTGAAATGATTTTTATCACCTGACTTCTGTTTCCTCTTTCTGACTTTGCAGTGCCTCAGAAGACTTTTTTTATCTAATTACTCGTCACTTTGAGCAATAAAGTTTTTTCTTTTTCTTCTTTCTCTTGTAAAAAATAAAGTAGATGCACTTTAAAGGAACGGTTTGATTGTACCATGTGAAGAATTAACATTCACTCAGTATCCCTGCAATTAGCATGACCCTTGTATGAAGTAGAAGAGCATAGCAGCGCATAGAAGACTAATTACTGTCAGTTACATTTCTTAGGTTTCAGTCTTTCATGTAGTTGAATCCTTGATATTTTCAGAAGAATGCTTGCAGCATCCTAACAAAAACAAAACTAGATCTTGTTTGGCATGTAGAATGAAAAGATGAAAAAAAAAGGCTATATGGAAAAAGCTTATCAATGGCTCTTCTAAACGGGAACGCTCACTCTAGAGGAAGTCTTCAACCCTCAGTATAGATGCAAAAAGGAGCTTACTTTCTTTTTTTCATCAAAACTTATTAGTCATTTTTTCTAAAGACAATGTTAAGAATTTTTCTCTTTAAAATGCAAAATACATGAAAGAAATGGTTGTTTCTGCTACTTACACTGTTTAAGAAACTATATTTTCATCCAGAAATAAAGGAAATTTTAGTTTCTAATATACTTATGTCACCAGTACAAACTGGAATGCTGCAAACTCCATTAAAGAGTGCTTAGTTAGCTTCCTAGACTCAAGAACTGAAGAATTTAAGCATCTTTACAAATGTTTAAAATGTATGTGTTTAAAATACTCTATCTGTCATTTGAAAATAGCTTGAAAGTTGCCTGGTAATTATAGGATAAATTTACAATTACCAATCAGCATTTGTGTGTGTGAATAAAATATTCATCACAAAAAACATTAGCTTGTTTCAAACCTCCCACACTAGAATGGGATGGGCTCACAGATCTTGTCAAGGAAATTTGTGTGCATTTCAGATGTATAATAAAATCTCACAACCTTGAGCAGTATCTCACAACCACAGTATTGCTGCAGATCTGCTGAGTAATGCACAGTGGTTCGTAGGAATATCTTTTGTTAAATGGAGAGATAAATCATAGAATCGTAGGATGACCTGGGTTGAAAAGGACCACAATGATCATCTAGTTTCAACCCCCCTGCTGTGTTCAGGGTTGCCAACCAGCAGACCAGGCTGCCCAGAGCCACATCCAGCCTGGCCTTGAATGCCTCCAGGGATGGGGCATCCACAGCCTCCTTGGGCAACCTGTTCCAGTGTGTCACCACCCTCTACGTGAAAAACTTCCTCCTACTATCTAACCTAAACCTCCCTTGTCTCAGTTTAAAACCATTCCCCCTTGTCCTATCACTATCCACCCTTGTAAATAGTTGTACCTTCTCCTGTTTATACGCTCCCTTCAATTACTAGAAGGCCACAATGGGGTCTCCCTGGAACCTTTTCTTCTCCAAGCTAAACAAGCCCAGTTCCCTTAACCTTTCTTCATTGGAGAGATGCTCCAGCCCTCTGATCATCTTAGTATGCAGTGAGAGAACATGTCAAAGGCCTTGCAGAAGTCCAGGTAGATGACATCCATCATCTTTCCCCCATCCACCAATGCTGTCACTCCATCATAGAAAGCCACCAGATTGGCCAGGCAAGATCTGCCCTTGGTGAAGCCATTCTGGCTGTCTAGGATCATCTCTTTGTCTCATACGTGCCATAACACGGTAACCAGGAGGAGCTGCTCTGTGGTCTTTCCAGGCGCAGAGGTGAGGCTCACCAGCCTCAAATATGATGAACGCTTCACTGTTCTCAGAGCTCCCTATTGTGTTACATCCTTAAAAACAATGTTCTGGCTTACATGAATTCTTGTATTTTGTTTCTATTTTCAAATCTTTGATTAAGGGAAGAAATGGAATTCGGTATTCTGAGCACCTTATGATCTCTAAGAAAATAAATGCTTCAGTTTTATTCGAGAGCAAACCTGTGCCAATTCACTGTTTATGAATCTGTCCCCAGGAAAACATTTTCCTGCTATTTTATAATATTTAAAATTAACCTCATTTCATTGAGGTGGCTTAATTCCCAGTGTGAACGTTCTTACATTACTTTGCCTTTTCCCCAGATTGGCTTATACAGGTTTGGAAGCGACTGAATCTAAATCAGGTTGAGTTTTCTGATGGCATAAAGGAATTAAATTCATGAAGATACACAAGTTCAACTACACTTTGTGATAATGAATGTAGACTTTTTTTTTCACATGGCAGTCTTCATTCATGCATGGGTCTATAAACTTTTAGGATCAGCATAGACTCAAGTATGTATTTCTCCTTACTGAAATCACTGAGGGCTTGGTGAAAATTTTTCACGGGTGTTTTGTGGGAAAGACTTTGTTTTATTTGCTTAATTGAAGCATCTTGTTCCACATAAAATGTTGACTTTTTAGTATCACGCTGCAATTTTCTCTACGGCAGCAACCTGCTTAATTCAGTCTGCTATGCTGACTTAGTGTGAAACAGAGGAACCACAATTTGCAAAACTGATGAAATGGACTTTACACCTGAGCCTTACCTCTCTAATTTGCAACGTCAGTATTTTTCATACAGATTTGCAAATCTGATGAACTATCATTGCTGAGAAAGAAAACGGACCACTTGGTCTCAGACAGTTTTGTCAGCTGGAGTATTAGGAAGCCCGTGCTGGGGTGGTTTAGTCCTACTGCAAGGGCAGCCTCACCACATCAGAGCTGCTGTCATGTGACAAAATAATCAAAAAGGCGCATTAATTACTGGCTACTGGGCGTTCTGGGGTGTTTTGTTTGTTGCTGTAGCGCTCAGGAGTAGCAGCCATTTGCACTAGAAAAATAACTGTCAGGAGAAGGGAGATGAACAGTTTTTTCTTGACGAATGTTAGTTTAGACCAGGCACGTCCAACCTGCAGCCCACAGCCTACACGTGGCCTATTATAGCCATCACTCATGTGCCCCCTGCCTTGCACTATCTTGGCAGTGTTTCTGCCCCACCAAGCAGCATGCTGTAGCCACACAGCCATCGCTCAGCAACATCCAAACTCTGGTATACACTGGGCGCTGCCTGGGCTGTAAGCAGGGCAGGGCAGGGCAGTGCTGGCTCTTTGCACCTGTCACAGGCACACAGTTGAACTGAAACCTGTGTGTATGACACATGGCGTGCGCTTCTTCCACTTTGTGAGGACAGTGCAGTGATTGCTGATACTCATATTTTCAACTCATTGTCTCAAAAAAAGGAAAAAAAAAAAGAAGAAGAATTGTGGATGAATGAAGAATGTTTGAAGAAGAATGGCCAGTTTAATATTTTATTTTCAAGACAAACATTATGGCAATATACTTAATTTGTAAGGAAATTGTGTCCGTCTTTAAAGATTACTATTTGAAAGGATAGCGTGCAGACACATGCTGCTAAATTCAATTAATATCAAGGAATGCTTCGTAAAGACAAAGTAGTGGAGCTGAAAAAATCTGTCATGTCAACAAAAACTTTTTTAAAAGGCTACAACTCAAAAGGACTCTATTGCAAAAGCTAGTTATGTGGTAGGGAATCTGAATGCAAAAGAAATCAAAACCATTTATTGACAATGAGTTTAATAAGCAACATATGAAAAGCATGGCAGATATAATGTGTCTTTATAAAAAAGCAAATCTTTCTAGAATCAGTTTGTTGCACTGGACCATAGCCAAACAAACTGAAGAAACAAGAAACTCTTAAAGGAAATTTGGAGAGTGAAGCTGGTAATTTCAAATCTTATGCTTTGGTTACACATGAAAGTATTGATGCTGCAGGCACAGCTCAGCTTGCCATTTTCAAGAGAGGTACTGATAACAAGTACAATATCACTGAAGAAATTATTTCTTTGGTGCCATCAAAAGACACAACTAAATCTCTTGATTTGTGTGAAGTAGTAACAATTACGTTAGAGCAGTTTTCTTTAACCTTTGTCAGCATGTCTGGTACAGATACTGATGGTGCCCCGGCGACAACTGCTAAAAAAGGGGGACTTACAAAAGTTACTGGAAGGCGATGCAACTGCTGTCAGCAACTCATGTTTGATGAAATGGTGCTGCATCGTTCAACAAGAAAATTTACACACAAAGCTTTCAAGATCAATGAAGTCATGAAAATCATCAGCAAAGCTGTGAATTTGATGGTTGCCCTGCAGCCTTCTCTTCTCCAGGCTGAACAAGACCAGTCTGTCTTCACAGGGGAGGTGCTCCAGCCCTCTGATCACCTTTGTGGCCCTCCTCTGGCCCATCTCTAACAGCTCCCTGTCTTTCTCGTATTGGGGGCCCCAGACCTGGACACAGTACTCCAGATGGGGC